TTAAATATAACTTAAAACTGTAGGCGAAGTACAAAATAAATAAACCCATACATTTTATCGCCCCTATTATTAAACTATTGAAAATAAATGTCACAGCATTAAAATGATATTGCAAAACAATAATCATTCGTTGTCATTATCATAATAGTTGTCTATGACTAAGCGTTGTTATCTGTGGCACGCGTATAAAATGTCAATCATCTGGTTTATGGTATACTTTAGTAAATGTCTGATAAATTGTGGATTGAATTACATAGCAGACATGTTTAAAAATTGTATAGATAATTTTATAATCAGATCCCTTCCCAGAATAAAAGGATAGATAAAATCTCTTACTACAGCTTTTTTATATCTTATTACAGCTTTCTTTTTAATCAAAAGACCAAACTAATTGATCTACAAGAAGCCAGTCACGACCAAAAGCCTTATCCAAATACAAAACTAACAAATAATCAAGAAAAAAATCTAAATGTCATTCTTCCCGCCAATTTAGTTGAACACCACACGATCAAACACGTGCGTTTCTCGTTAATATCAATAATTAATAACTGTAATTAAACAGACAATAAAAAATAAAATAGAATTACTGTCCGCAAAGATTAATCAATCGACTAAATTAAAACTCGATTAGTGCTTCACATCGATACAATGAATCGATTTGATCTGAGAAATATTAATATGACGGAAATCTAAGAATCGCGTGACAAATACAATTGTTTTATTGTAATTGTATCATGAGATCTAATTAGTGTTTTCATTAATACAAGGATTTGATAAATATAAGCAGTTATTGATGTTACTACTCTACTCAAACGCCACACAATTTTAGTAATTTAGACTAGTTCTGTCACTACAAATTCTTTGCAAAATGATAGAGATGGCACGATATTTAAGTACATATTAAAAGTAGCCTTTTATTATTCGGGCGTAACGTCAAGTCAATTGCTTGACTTGAAAGTTTAGAGTGACAAATAACATAAATTCATAATTATGTCACTGAAATCAATCACCTATAAATATGACTTTGTCATTCACTATAACTTCCGCATCCCACATTCCGGAATTAATTAATTTTGCCTACATAACCTTTCAAAATTGTAAAAAGTAACAAAAAGTGCCTAAAGTCTATATTGTATCTATCGTATTAATAGTAATTTAAACGCAAAAAAAGCACAAGAATTTTAGTTACATTCGCATTTATAATATTTGTAAGAAATAACATTACATCTCTGATTCATTTTACGATATATGATCAAAATAACACAATGATCTAATTCTTACACAACCCAATCAATTTTTTCCAACTGGCAACAATAGCAACACCAAAAAAAACTGTCAATCACATTCCGCGCGCAATGTCATTATCAAGGACAGATAATAAAAAATGAGACCATAAACCAAACGTAATTATTTTTATATGATCGTTACATACCGTTTTTGTTGTGTAGGCTAAAAGGAGGTAGTTAATTAAATAGGTATGTGTTACTATTAATTCAAGGTAAAGCAATTGAACTTGAAAATAAATATAGTTGCAATTTATTTGACAGTGTTTGAGTATGTAATATTTGTAATTGATACGCTAATATCATACGATTAGAGATGATTTTACCTTTTTTCTTCTTTCTATCCATATTCCAAGTTATCTGGGGTCGAAGAAACATATCTTCTATCTCTTCCTCCTCTTTCAAACATCATGCCATCTTGCCACAAACGGCTCTGTCATCCCAATCCTTATTCAGCTTTACTACGATCGTCCAAAACTCAACCAATTGTTCCAAGATTTCTTCCGAAGCTCCAAATGTTCTTGTGTGTTGTCCAATCTACAGTACTCAAGTAGATTTCTAACTAGAAACTCCCACACAATTACCTAAAGGGCAATCGCAACCAAATGCTGTCAACATCCAAAAATTACACGAACAGACTCAATAATGAATCCCCAAGTGAAGTTACAGAGTTACACCTTATTTGTCATACCTATGACACAACACTGCACTACTTTCCGCACGGCCTTAGCACATCACTAGACGTGTCATAACCGAACATGACATGTGTCAAGGTCCCTCATTATAATGCATGGCACATCACTATTGTTGTGATATTGTCTATGCGTTCCGTTATTTTTAGATTTTGTATTTGGAATACAAAAGGTCGTGTTTACGTGTATTGGAATGTGACTTACGTTTAGAACTTTAGTAAAACTAATCGTCGCTTTGTCTTCCAAATTTAAACACCTAACCATAGACAGACGTAACATAAAAGAAAATTTCAGGCCAATGTCAGCATACATACAGCCACAGCTGTCAAACTAGAATGGCGGGAGTTGCGAAATAATTTGACTGGGGTATTTAAGGCGTTGTCCTGTTAGCGAATTGTTTAAGATAAGGTTTATTGGCATTGTAATTGTAAATTGGGACCAGGTGTAGCCTATTTGCAAATCAAGGATTGGCCGAACCTGTTTTGGTTGGTAGATTTAGAACTAAATAGATACTTATTTAATATTTGAAAGTATTTGTACAGCAATCTGATTAAATTACTTAGCAGTAAATTAAGTAGCAGTAGCAATGAACTAATAAAAATATTATTATTAAAAAATCGATTTCAAGGGACTCATTGTCCATGGCGAAAAGTACTTTTAAAAAGCCTCCACCTATTCTTTCTGTTACGTGTAAACCTTCTTAGAATGTTTAAACATAACGAAACCAATGCTCTAGTTTGCCCTAGTTCACAAACAAACGTGAAAAATTTCCTAAACTTAGCGAAAATCGTCACCACATAGAAAAAACTAGAACACAACAGTAACTTTCTGAGAAACGAACAGTAGAAAATTTGCACAATACAAAATTTACTGTTGCATAGATCCTGTATACCGATTAGGTGAATTAACATCAGCAGTTACTAAACGAAACAGTAGCAGACTGGCAACATTTAATGTACAAAAAGTTGCCGTATAAAAAAATCGATTTACGATTATTAATTCTGACATTCAAGGCTGTATGTCGCACGTCTTTGACAGGGTTGAATTGTAATTTGACAGTTGATTTATTTATTGTCCTTAGGCCTACTCCTGTGTTGCGATATTGAGTATCGAAAATTTTCATTTCTAAGTCGGGATTTGTGACTAAGTTATAATGATACTTTTAAATTAATAAGAGAAAAGTTAATATATTGAAATAATCTTCTACCTATACTTTCTTTTTGAAGTTTAAGTGACACTATACAGTCGGTTTCGAAAACTTATTTTCATCGCGCCCCTTTTCAAATCAAATCAAATCAAATCCCTATTAACATTACAGATAAGAAAATAAATAAATAAAAAGTAGGTTACCAGCCATAAAAACTAATAAAATGGCAACTCTACACCACCAATGCTAATAGAATGTTGTCATCGGCATTTTTTCGGTTAATTACATTGCAATTAGCAATTAATATTTTTTTAATAACTATGTTAATCACGCAGCAAGAACCGACATTATTCGGCCTAACAAAAAACGGGAAACGTGCAATTCTTTTGTCAGGGCTACTGAATTGAATTAGCATTTGTATTGAGAGCATATTTATACCACATTTAAGCAAAGAAACTGAACCATCAGCGTTGTTTTCGAACTCACTATAACTTAAAAAAAAACAATAAGTATTCGTTTTACCACAAAGCTTTCATTTTAAAGATAACTAAATTGCTTTCTATGCGACATATGTTACCGATTAATAAAATACTCGTAACAGAAATTATTTATCAAGAAATGAAAAATAAAGAACGCTAGGGGCTTCGTTTCTGTGCTACCAACTCCCAAGTGTACTATCTGTATTAACAATGCCTACAGTTGACCTAATGGTAAGCAAAAATCGTCGTCTAAGGGCACTTGCAATACCAAAGGCTTTACAAGTGGGCTATCTTTGGACATCTCTGCGGGTTACCCTGGCCCCGCCTCGAAGCAGAAGTAGGAACGGGTGTAGTCAGTAAGAGTCTGATACTCCCTCTTGCCTCACCCAACTTCACCCAATAATGGAGAGGATTTCCCCCCTCAAGAAGGCGGCATTGCATATGTTTTGCCGACCAAATAAGCTATGTAATATCGTCGGCATATCGACTGTTTTACAATGAAAGACAGTAGTTAGCATAAGTTTAGGCAGTCATGGAAATATTCTAAACCTACCGATATAATCAAGTAAAGATTTTATGGTAATTATTTTTATTAAAATAAAAATAAATGCTGATTTTCTATACCTTTCCTATAAATCCTTAATTACGATCAGTAACTAAAGAACACAAAACCGTTATTCCAACGCAAACACCGAACGGATAACGTTAATAACGGAAGACGGAATTAAGTTATTATAACAATAGTTAATTGTTATTCCGTTGCACGCATAATCTCAAGGCAGTACCTAGTTAAAGCAATGAAGAAACTGAAATTGTAACTAAATTAAATCAACGTTATTGATTTCACGCTTTGTTAAACTTTTCATTTATTTCAACGTACACACATCAAGCTATGCATAACCAGTATAAAAAGACCGTCGAATGTCCTAAAAGATCATAGAACGCCGGACCAATCATAAACTGGTTTTTTATAGTTTGATTTGTAGCCGACCATTCGATAAATTAGCATAACGGTTTTTTCGACAGCTGTTATTTTGATTAATGTTCCAGTAGCCATCTTTTGGCGCGAAACGATTGCTTGATTTATTGTGCGAATTAAATACGTAATGAAATCGATTTTGTTGTATCATGCTAATCATTGATTTATTATGGTTCGCATATGTATTTATAATGAGTGTGGAATAAAATATGAGATAAATGGTTTCGTAAACACCACTCAAGTGCAATAAGAGAAACAAAACTACAACTTTATGTGCCTACTATCTGATATTTCATTGTTAGTACTCATACAAAATACGAATAGCGTTGAAGAAAGCTATAACAGAGAAATTCAATAACCATTCATCTAGAAAGATCCCTAACTAAATCGATATTAACAACCTCAAACCCAGTATTACCTTCACAACTCTACAACAAAAACCATCTTCCACAGATCGCTTTCGTCGCCATCCTCGGCTATGCCTCCGCCAGCGTGATCAGCCCCTACGTGTATGGGGTGAACGCTGGTGACGCTCAGGCTGCAGCCATCGACGCGACAGTGGCCGCCCAGGACCACGCCCGTGCCGTCGGCGAAAGCCAGGCACGTGCCGCCGAAGCCGCTGTCCAGTATAACAACGAGGCAGTACGTCAAGTTGCTGAAGCCAACCGAGACCTCCATGAGAACGCTTACTGGGGATCCGTCGCCGCCAACCAGAATGCCGTAGCCGCCGCTCAGTCCCACGCTGCTGCCGCTAGCGGAGTCGCCGCTGCCCACGCTGGTATCGTCGCCGCCCGTGCCGGTTACGCCGCTCCCTACGGCATCGCCGCCCCCTACGGCATCGCCGCCGCTCCCTACGGTTTTGCTGCTCCCTACGGCATCGCCGCTCCCTACGCTGCCCACGGTCTCGGCTACCACGCCTGGTAAATCGACAACGGATCCCAAAAACGGTTATTTCAAAAATAGCAGTTGTCTCTAAACTGTTATTTTTTACTTAACCGTTTTTGTCCCTTAGTCGGTTGTACCTGGCAACACTGGCGGTGTGTTTTTTATGTCGTTAGTGTTGCTAGGTAATAATTGGCCAAGGGTAGCAACACCACCGCTCAAATGGATAAAAAAACATGCTCAAACGAACTAAGGTCTCATATAGTAACTCTCTTTGTAAATAAAAGTAAATAAAAGATGCCATCACTGCCAAAGTGTAAATAAACACGTTTTTACAAAACAAAACATATGTTTTTTACTTACGACTCCTTTTTACCTTACCTCTAAACTGTAAGTTAACCGAAATTCGACTCACACAATTTGAAATACAATAGAAAATGAAACAGCACCAAAAATTACTACCATTCTAACAAATTACAGACATTCAACTCAATCTAGACAAAAACTAATACTCATATCACCCTGAAATTGATTTTAAAAAACTAAATTATATATGGAATTGACGTGAATTTTGACAGTTGTCAGTGTCATCCCCATACATTGAATTTTCTACTCTCTGTCTGTAGACAAGCGCTAAAATGGCATTTGGCTAAGGCACTGATAGGTACACATAAAACAAATTTCTCATTTAGATAGTAAAATAATAAACTCGATAGAAGCGCATATCAATTTAAACTCTCATTTATTTATTTGTTATTTGTTTCCTATTACGGTGCATAACAACTGTTTTTCTTTATTTCATGGTAATAATATCAACAATTTTAGTAAGTTTTATAATTAGTATAATGCGTCAAGCGTGTCTTTGGATTGTTCTCACATATGCGTACAATATTGGAATATGTATCAGAGACATTGTAGAACATACTTTTTTAAAAAGAGTAACAAATGGAATTTCTTGTTCGTTCTTCTCCAATTGAATCTACATTTTGGAATGAGCACCTAGCTTTACTGACGGACTGACTGACAGTCTATTATTTATTTTGTATTTGTTGACGTTTCAAAAGTACCAAAACATGGTTTAATTGAAATAAATGCTTTGACTTTGACTTTGACATGATTAGATGATGAGTTCCATCATTTGACCATGACTATACCACAAGTGATCACGTAAAGATACTGCACTCACGCTTCTATAATAAACAGATCTTATAGACACATTATTGTCGTCATGGTGCGCCGGTTTCAAAACCTACGAACAGCAAGTACCAATGTGACTTTTTCCAACTTATATGTACTTTCTAAGATTATTTAGACACCACTGACTAACGGTGAAGGAAAACGTCGTGAGGAAACCTGGGCTTATAATTTCTACTAAGTTTGATATCACCAACCCGCATTGAGCAAGCGTAGTGATTAATGCTCAAACCTTCTCCGCGTGAGAAGAGGCTTTGCTCAGCAGTAGCCACTTATAGGCTTTTGATGATAATGAATATATTCTAATTTATAGCAATTAGTTCGAAAGGATAAGCTGAGATGCACACATGAAATGTGATACAAACTTTTAGCCAGTTATCATAAAAATAGCATTAAAAACGAAGTCATTGCGATACACCGGGAACAGTTGTTTATTTCTATAAATTAAATAAAATATGTATCAGAAACCAAGGCTGAATGCATAGCTAAATAATTAATTCAACATTTAATTGATCTAATTATGGCGAGCAGTTGACAACTTTATTAAGGCAGGCGTTTAACTAATGGTTACTTATACATACAAGCTAATTCGAACCAACTACAATGACAGGTCTTATATTCTAAGTGTGGGAGAGTGATGAGACCACAGAACTTCTTTAATATATCTGTGGATGAGACCATTCAGCACGAACGGGCCGGCTCGACCGGAGTAATACCACAGCCTCACAGAAAACCGACGTGAAACAACGCTTGCGTTGTGTTACGTCTTGTTAGTGAGTTTACCGGAGGCCTAATTACCATTAAAAAAGAGTAAAGACGAGAAAAAACAAACAACAAAGTATAACCATAAGTTAGGTAGTATTTTTTTTAAGGGGGGAATACCATCAAATGACTCTTACTGACTAAAAACCACCCCGTTTCTTCTCCTGAGCTTCGAGCCGGAGCCCCGGTAACCCGTTAGGTTCTCCGCTACTTCGTATCGGGCATCAACCCTACTGGGCCCCATCTGTGGTGGTCTGAAGGCGCTTTGAGTGAGTGTGAATGAGTCTGGTACTGGTCAGGCGGCGAGCTACCTTTGCTCGCCGTCCGAAACCATAGGTAGTATAACCATAACAATAAATTTTCACCATTAGAACAGCCAATTAATTATATCAGACATTCTGAAAGACCCTCTTTACCTACATATTCAGTTTAGCCAATTATGTTATCATCACCAAATCCGCTATAATATGGGCAAATCTGTCACAGCTTAGGACACACCTGGCCACCGTGCTGTCACTAAAAACCCTCAGATGGAAAACCCCAAAAACACCTTTACCTACCCATAAATAGAGTTGCACCGACCAAAGCCACTAAACTACAAGAACCAAGCATTCAAGAACGAGTTCAGAATCATCCATTAAGAAATACACTTCCTGAACTTTAATCTCGTTCAAAATGCTGTTGAAAACAAAGAAGGTATATTCTGGATAATTCGCCAAGCCCTGTCCAAGTATGTCAGGTGATTATGACCTTTATAGCTACGGTGGTAAGTACCAATTACGTGTGTAAGTGTTGTGGAAACCAGATACTTGATTTCTAGACTGCCTTGGGGAGGGCGTAGGCTTTTGTTAGTTGTGACATAGGGGCGAGTAGTTTGGTGTACTTGTTGGAATAAAAGTTCTGTTAAAAATTTATTGTGGTTTGTTTTAAGTAAGGGAGATCCAGAAAGCGATTTAAAGGTACTTGGGTGCTTCAGATTAATACGTGGGGAACAGCTGGCACTGATATCTTATCTGTTGAATGTACCAACCATATCTACTGCTTTTAATTAAAAGAGTAGGTTTTTCAACGGTTCTAATTTGTAATAAGGTTTTTTTTAAGGGGGGAAAATCATCGAATAACTGCTACCGCCTGGGTGAGGCGGGAGGGAGTGTCAGACTCTTATTGACTAAAAACTACCCCGTTCCTTCTCCTGCACGTCGAGCCGGAGCCCCGGTAACCCGTGAGTTTCTCCGCGACTTGTAATAAGGGTATGGTAACCCTTACCAAGCATATCGCGCAAATAAAGTTAATTTGATACCAGAAACACGTGGAATGTACCTTCATATTCATATACCAATACCATACACCATAAATATCAGTCAAGCGCAAGCACTAAATCAAAAAGTAAAGAGCTTCTAAAAAAGTAATGCAATTGCTTTATTTTTTTCTATCAACATCCAGTAGGACTTTCTATTCTATCTAACATCCTGTTGATCCTGATTCACCCATTTTCATCCACAATTTGAGACAATATTGTCTATTACGTCAGATAAACGCTCAATGTGACTCCCAACAAGTTGGCTCCAATGCCGCTTGACATTCCAACCGGCAGTATGTGTTAAAATATCATTTGGACGAAATAATTTATGAATGTAGACCACCTTGGGCCCAGTGCAGAATATAAACAAAACAAGATATCATTACTTGGTTAACATTTACATATTATTATACTAGCTTTTACCATCGGGTTTACTCGCAAAGAATTGAAGAATTCATTTTCAAATAGGTCAACTTGAATATTGGAATTGGAATATAAAATGATCGGAGTGATACCACGGCCGAGCAGAAAACCGACGTAAAGCAACGCTTGCGTGGTGTTTCGTCGTGTAAGTGGCGTTATCGGTCGCCCAATACCCCCCCCCCCCTAATCTCTCCAATCCCCGAATCCCCAACAATCCTCGAATTCATAAACTCCAAAAGGCCGGTAACACATTTGTAATGCCTCTAGTGTTCAAGGTGGTTTATTCCACTTTGTTCACCTGGGTGATTTCACCTAGGTGAACAAAGTAGACTTTTTGGAGTCCTCAATTCACCTGGGAATTATTTCACCCAGGTGATATCACCTAGGTGAATTGAGTTGACTCAAGTAGTCTCCTTTGTTCACTTGTCAATTTAATTCACCCAGGTGCACAAAGGCGACTTTTTACTTTTACGTTGTGGCCTTATATCACCTACCTACCTTACATCAAGTTAAATAAAAACTTTCAATTTAATATACATTTTAATATGTTCAAATATCAGATTAATGTTGGTCTATTACACATGCAAAAACATATCACAACTTCTAACACTACGCTAGGAGTTCCATGTAATAGGGGTGAGCTTATTGCTGTACACTGGGTATAATACCAAACTTCATAGTGTTCCATGCACCTTAACTACCTATACATTCAGTAATTACGTAGTTGTTGCTTCTAATGTTTTCTCGGAGTTTTAAAAATTGGCTATTTTGTAGATTTTGATGTGATCTTTCCGATTATCATTTTGCCAACCACTTCGTAGTTCCCATGAGTATGAAGAATGATTGAACCAAGTTTCGTTAAAATCCGTCGAGTAGTCTTTTCTATAAGACATACAGGCAGACAGACAAAAATTTTACTGTATGCATTTTTGGCATTACTTAGTAGCAATCACCCCCTGATTGACCTGACCCTGATTATTTTGGAAATATATTTCGTGTACAGAATTGACCTCTCTACAGATTTATTACAAGTATAGATAAATAGTTTTGGCGGGACCGCAAAGTAGGTACACTTCAATGAACATTTAGGCGGATTTTCAGACCACATGTGGAAATAAAATTTCGTTCGTAATTATACCCAGTGTACAGCTATAAGCTGGAACTCCTAGCGTAGTGTTAGAAGTTGTGATATGTTTTTGCATGTGTAATAGACCAACATTAATCTGATATTTGAACATATTAAAATGTATGTTAAATTGAAAGTTATTATTTAACTTGATGTAAGGTAGGTAGGTGATATAAGTCCACAACGTAAAAGTAAAAAGTCGCCTTTGTGCACCTGGGTGAATTAAATTG